TGTCCTTATCTTTGTTCTCCAGCCGACGAGTACCGTCTTTCTTGATTTCTTCTTACTGAAGAAACTTCATGTGGTGGAGGAAAGCCAGTCAAAATGATATACCCTATATTTTACCATTTTTACTATCTATTTCACTATGGTTTTTACATATATTAATAAAGCTTTTGGACCAAAAGATGTAGTTTTCTCGTATTTGTAGATTTTAAGGTCTTAATAGGTTTTATCATCAAAAGGATGTAAAATAGAGCAAAAAGAGTGTTATCTATGATGCAGCTACTCATTCAAGTCAAAGGAACCAAGCCAAGTCGTTTTATCTTGAAGATAATGCAAATTCTCAAACTGGACAGAACGTATATGTCAGAAGTTCGATGATGAACGGAGCATCAAATCAACTTGGAATTGAACGAAACTTTGTATGGAGATAGCCTTTTGAGTTAGATTTAAAATGAAGTTGTAATCACATCATTTGGAGCTGTACTTTAGAAGATACACTGGAAACACTGAAGACATGTCAAACTGCCTTCGAAGTGAAGTGAGAGCACAAGGAAGCCAATCACCGGACCGCCCATGGGCCGATGATCCAGACCTTTGCCAACCTTCTAGAAGCGCCATAGAAGCCTCAAATACCGGTCACACAACCCGACCGGTATTGTGACCGGTATTGCCTCAGTTTCGACCAAAAAGACGTTTTTGCCCGAAGAAGACCTAGCCGACTTAAGCCTCCTTAAAKCCCTATATATACTTGCTTTTAMCCTCTCTAGGAACTTAAGCAGCCGGCCATAATAGCCTAAATCAATACCTAAACATGTATTTCGTTTTTCTCTTGTTCTTAATGCATAATTGATTCTAAAAYCCTTTAAGGATAMATTGACTTTGCCCTATTGRGAAGAGATGAGATCTAACTCCTTACGCTTTGTAGATCAACGATTTATCTTTATGTTTATGTGCTTTACTCTTGCTGCTACGTGTTGCAAAACATGTTAGAGTACTAGCTTTTATTTGATTTCTATGCACTTTCTTAATTCTATGTCTTTACATACTTAATCGTTTAGAGTTTTATTCTAGAATTG